TGGGTGAGAGTAAAACTATATCTGCTAGCACAGTGGCTCTGGGTGTTCCTGCTTTTCTTCTTCCTTCTGACTCCTGATTCTTCCTTTCCCTTCTTTGGTTCCCAGCTTCCTCTCCCACAACCCTTCCTGACATACGGAAGAAAGGATTCTTCCCCTGGCTATCTCCTGGTGCTGTGAGAGATTTTCCTATCTGGGAATTGACCTAAAAAAATGCCCTAGTATGAACTGAACCTGGGTATCCTCCCATCCTGTCCAAGGGCTCTTTGGACTAAAGTGCCATAACATCAGCTGCTGACCCAGCTTCTCCACAGGTTGCTATGTAGATGGACATTAAGTTGAGCACGTGAACAAGGCCAAGGATGTACAAGCAGCTGTATTACAATCCATAACCTGTTACTGTGTTTGCCAACTTTGTCTGCCTGCCTGCAAATATTATTATCCCAGTAACTGCAACATGCAGTGTTGAAAAACGGAGTCTGTTACAGAAACCCTCTCAAGGGGTGCTTGAGTGCTTTGGTTGGTGAGTGCTTAAAGTACACAGCACTCAAAGAACATAGTCCCCACATATCTAACCATAGAAGTGGTTTTCTCGCATGATGTAGCTATTAGCAGTTTCAAGCCTGAGGGAGATTTGTCTTAGCTGTGATTGGTGTAGGTTTGTTATGTTATCTGACAATGAAATACCACAGCAACGCCATGTAGGTTGTGTTAATGGGTACTGGCGGAGCATTGCTGAAGTACTGCAGAAGCAAGACCTTTTATTCAACTTTTGTACTAGGATGGTTTGAAATACTGCACGGCCTTCCTTAGATAAAGATTAATAATGCTTCACAGAAAAAAGGCCTAAACCTGAGAGGTGCTGAGTGCCTGCAGATCCAGTCAAAGCTAGCTTGAATCTTGGGTTCAAACCTGAAATAAGCATTGTCGATTTTGAGATGCAGCATTGTTGACTGCATTTGGAATGGCCCCTCCCTGTCGCTGTCTCACCCAGCTCTAACTCTTCTGCTCGGTCTGAATAGGGGGCTGTGCTGTGTAGAGCAGGAGGGAATCATGGCTTACCACAAACTCTGTTCTTTGCATGGTTTGTTTAGATCGGTGCACCTTTCACGTGGCCCTGTGAGTGCCAGTTCCCCTATCCTGTAGCAGAGAACCTCGGGAGACCTCCCATTCGTTCCATTAACTTGGGTCTGGTGAAGTGATAGAAACTGAATAGCTGCAAACAGAGACGCTGACCTAGAGTTAAGACCATGGTTCTTATTTCCCTAGGTGGATCGGGTGAGCTACCTGCTTCAGGAGATCTATGGCATCGAGAACAAAAACAACCAGGAGACCAAGGTAGAAGTGTCTACCAAGCTCCTTTTCTTTTCTACATTCAGAGCCATGTGGCGGGTGCCCAGTTTTGGGGGGTGGGGTCAGCTTTTGCTTTGAGTTTGTATGTGGGTTGTGGCTCATTGTTGGGGAGTCAGGGGAGGAAGAGAGTCCTCCTTCAGTCATATCAGCAAAGAAGTGGAGCACATTGCCTTTCCAGTAGTTGTAGAAGCGCAGGCTCATTCCTATCAGAACACCAAAGAAGTCAGCATAGTTACACTGAGGTGAATTGGATCTAAATGTTTTGTTAAGCAACTTGAGACCCCTGAGAATATGCATCAAGCTTGGGACTTTCAAAGCAGCTGGAGAGAGTTGAGTACTAACTCCCAGTTGGTTTTCGAGGGTGCTTGTTTCCACAGCACATGATGCATTAGGAGAGTTGTCCCAGTCTCTGCAATTGCTGCCTCATATCCTTTCTAAGCTCCGCTCCAGTCGGACTGCTTCAGTGGCCAAAATCATTGTCCCATTTCCTCACACTTAAGTAGGTCCTTTACCTCCTAAACAACCCTAGAATCACCTCTTCTTGTGATACCCACAAAACAGGGTGGACTTCTGCACTTCATTCACAACTTGTGATCTGAAATATGCTTCTGGGACCCACTTGGTGGCTCTTTTTTTTTAAATCAGAAGCACGTGCATGTTCAGTCCTCACTGCAAGGAGTTCTGGTTCCCCTTGTGCCCATTTGCCATCCATGCAGTGCAGCCCTTAAGTACTTTGTGACCCTGCAGCAATAGAGGAGTTGACTGTGTGTTGCATTGCTCTTGTCAGGTGGAGTATGTGGAAAGTGCTTTAACTAGGAATGTAACTCCCTCTTTAGGCGGAGGAGTTTGGGATTGCATTCAGGGTTCTGGCGTATTGTGTGGCCTTCAGCAAGTCACTTGATTTCTGTGCCTCAGGTAGTGCTGAGAGGATCCATGCATTTGATGCTCTGTAGGTAAGAAACACTGAGTGATGTGGGTTTCCTCCAAAGTAGGCTGTTTTTGTAACCACTGTTCTGAATTCTCCAGTGCTGTGTGCAAGTAGAGGAGCTGGGAGAGGAAAGTCACCAAAGAGGAAAAGCTGAGTCCCTTCTCCTGTAAAGGGCCTTGTGCTGAGGGCTCCTCTTTGTGCTCCCAATATGTTGTGATCCAGCTCTTTCAGACATAACCCAGTACACAGGCAACTGGTAGAGGGGGTATGGGGGTATGTGCGCCCCCCCAAGATTGGCCCCCAACTTGGCATCGCTCAGGACAGGGCAGTTTTTTTGCTACGTTGGCCAGTGGCGTCAGGGGGGACACAAAGCCATGGCATAGAAGTATAGGAATAGATATTGGACTTTCGGCCTACCCACAAATTGTGCCTCCCCAGACTCAGGAGGCACGAGTCACCCCTCACCTAGTGTACAGTTCCATTTGGGCTGTTTGTTGTGTTCCAGCATACTAGGCCACCAGTGTAAAATGGAAAGAGGAAGGATGATCCACAGTGTGCATTGCTAGTGTGGTCAGTAAGCTGCCTTGCTGCTCTGGCAAGAGCAGGTGCTGTTACATTCTCCTTTACAGCTCATTCGGCAATGTGATCTGTATTCCAGCCTGCATTAGCAAAGGGAACTCAGAATGGCACTGATTTGTCATGTAGTGCTGAGGTCACCAGCAGTAGGGCAGTGGTTCTCAATCTGTTTAGGCTTACAGTGCCCCTCATTCGACTTGAGGCACCCCTCAGAAAATGCCAGCTCTTAGTTTTAATTTGTTTTTGACTGTGGAAAAATAATAGAGCAATTTTTCTGGTGTGAAGAACTCAGAAAGACCGCAACAGGGCAAGATGTTTTAACACTATGGATTCCTTTTTGCAATTTCTATGTTTATCTGGTGAATCATATTTACGCACCAAACTGCTAATATTATGCAGCACCCTTGAAAGGATTTCAAGGCACCCCAGGGTGCTGTGGAACCCTAGTTGAGAATCACTGCAGTAGGGGTGTGTGCAGCTCCAACAGGGGGAGCTGGATGAGTCTGAAGAATCCCCTTAGGCTCCAGCAGAAGGCACTGTAATGGCTGGGAGGAGTGGTTCCCCCTTTGGAGTGCTGCGCCGCCATGGCCCCCAAGGTGAGGTGCAGCAGTGACGTGGAGTTGTGTCCCCGCTGCTGCTGGGCAGGCAGGGGGCACCTCGCCTTGGCAAACATGGCAGTGTAGTGCTCCCTTCTGCGCCAGGTCTCATCTGCTGGGCTGCAGAAGTGGCTCCTGTCTGGAGCTGGCCTGTCCCAGCTGCAGCCCCTTGCCCCACTGTGGGTGCAGAAATCTGGGGGGGGGGCATGTATTGCCCCTCCAATGCATGGCCTGTGCCCCCCTCCTGCCCCCCCACATAGATTTACCTGGAAGGAGCTGCAGGAGCTGCTCTCCACTGTTGCCTGGCTGCCACGTGCATGTGCATACACGCATGTGGCAGCCTCTAGCAGGCTGGAACTCTGCCAGCCTGCAAAGGGAAACCCGCAGTTTCCCAGGTTTTTCTCCTTTAGAGGAGAAAGTCTGCATTTTTCCATGGCAAATGGAAAACCCAGATCCCTGCTGATCAGCTCTTGTCCCTTCCCTGCTGGGCTCTGGAAGCCCCATGAAGGAAAAGACTTGACAGGCACTCAGCTGAGCCTGGGGAAGCTCCTAGTGAAAGGGTGCTCCTTTCACTCTACAGCTCAGGAGAAGGGAGAACCTAAGACCTGAGATCCAAGTACAGCTCCATGATTTCCTGTCCTAGCCCTGGTACTGTTAAAGCAGGCAAGGTGGGAAGGCATAGGAGCCAGCTGCATCAGCCGGATGCCTTCGGGGGATGTGCTTTCCCTGGGAGATCCCTGTCTGACTGAACACTGCAGACCTGGGCAAATCCATGCAGCCCCATTACCTGTTGAGAATGAGCTGCATTTAGGCAGAAAGTGCCTCCCTGGGCTGCAGTGTTCTCTTTTGGATACCTGGCAGTTGTATTTATGTAACAGTTTCTTAACTCTTGTTGCAGCCTTCTGATGATGAGAACAGTGACAACAGCAATGAGTGTGTTGTGTGCCTGTCTGACCTGCGAGACACCCTCATCCTGCCTTGCAGGCACCTGTGCTTGTGTAATTCCTGTGCTGACACCCTGCGCTACCAGGCCAACAACTGCCCTATCTGCCGGCTGCGTGAGTATGCCCTATAGAGGAGCACACATGTCAGCAGCCAGTAGCCTCCTAGTTTGAGTACAGAATCCTAGCGCACTTGGACAGGGGTGGTCCCAGGGTCCGGCAACACAAGAATCTTGGGCATCGAGTCTGGTAACTGGTAATCAGCACCTCTTCCCTTCTGCTCAGTTAGTGGGGGTAGAAGAGCAGATGCACAAAGCTGAATTAGCACTTGGGATCCTGGCATCAACAAAAACAAACCCAAGTTTTAGTATGCTAGTAACCATAGGTGTGACCTAGGTAAGGGGCTCTGTCCATTTCTGGCCTTCCCTACATTCTGGCATACTTTAGATGGTCAGTATCTCCTAAGTAATAGCATCCACAGAGGCACCTTGTTTGCTATGGTTTCTTTCCCCATCCTGCACTGCTCTCAGTACAGAACAGCTACCCTCTCTGGCTAATCCATTTGGGACAGTACACTTGGAATTGGGTTTCTGAAGAGAATAAATGTAGTGTTAAAAGAATTCCAGACTCCAAGCTCCAAGGGATAGATGTGGTCATTTCCATTACCTAGCTGTTAACCTGAATCTGATTTGTAGACAAAAAGTATCTATGCTGGTTTGGAAGGAGAAGTCAGTAGTGTCTGTTGTGAAGAAATCCTGATTCCAAGTTAAGTTTAGTTGCCCTCTCCCCTTTTTAGGCAAGGGAGCAGTAGGGACCTGCTCTGTGCTAAGCCACTTTGCTTAACTGTCTTTTTGAGGGTTGAAGATCCAGGTGTTACCATGTGATGACAATGTAATGTAATTGAGGACCCCACCCCCACAACCTTCACAACTCTGAAATATGGTCAGCATTTAGAAGAGTGAAATGTTGATTACCTGGGATAAGAACCTCTTCTGCTAGACTGAAGAGGTTCCTATCCCAGGGTGGGCATATCTTTTATATGAGCAGCACAGTTCCTCACTAAGTAAACTGGCTCCTGTCGCTCTTGAACATCAGTGTTAACTCATTTGCATTATATTAAATCAGTGAAGCTCTTGCAAGCCCATGGTTTGCTCAATTTCTGTTACCAAATGGCTTTTAGTCTGGCATATAGATGTGTTAAAACCTTTCCACATCTGCTAATTCAGAGCCTTTTAAATGAAAAAAAAAGGTTGATGCAGAAGTAGAGTATTTGCTGCCTTGTTTCCATCTAAGTGCCCTGTTAATATTTCAGGAGTTCCCAGGAATAGGATGGTGGCAGATACGTCCTTCTGCTGCAAGCCAATCAGATGAGGTTACATTTCTTTACACTGGAGTACAAGCAGGGCCTCTTCTGTGGCTTCCAGAGCCTTCCCGCAGCATTTGTTCCTCTGAGGAGTTCAAAGCTTTTAAATCAGTTTCTGTCTTTTCTTGTGCTAGCTGCGGTTGTAGTGCTGACTGCTTTATCTGGGACAAAATATCCCAGCATTGTGCTTTAAAAAAACTGCAGCGGGTGGGTTCCCTGATGATTGTGGACCACCTCAAGGATCAGCAGGGCTCAAACTGCAGCATCAGATTTATTGAACTCAGCCTATACCCCTTGCCTCTCCACGGTTCTCATAGCTTTTGCCTCCAAACTCTGCAAACACATTTACAGTCACTGCCTTGAGTTCCTTTCCTCCTGCTCTGTCTTAGATCCATTCTAGCTGGCCTTCCACTCACCATCTTGAATTGTATGAAGCTCAGAACAGAGACTGGCTTTATGTAGGCTTATGGAGAACCCAGTGACCCCTGCTTCTGACAGGAAGTTGCTGCAATTTAAATATTTCATAGTGCCCCCTAGTGCGGCAGAAAAGAGCATTCTGTCACCATAGGGCTCAGGAATACACAGAATGCCACTGGATTCTTTAAAAATAATCTGTAAAGGAAAAAAAACGGAGGATCTTGCCTTTTGCTACTTTAAGATGGCTAGAAGCAGGAAGTTTTTTTCTGTTCGGTTTTTAACCTTAAAAATATCAAATCTCTACGTCTTTTCTTTCTCTCTTTTTTTTAATCTGTCAGTATCCTTGGAGGACCAGAGGGCTGGAATCAGGAATTTTAATTGAAGGGAGGATATATAAATCTTTATAAAAAAGACATTTAAATAGATTCACTGAACATCACTTCCTTTCTCATTTTTGGATTTCACCTCCTTGGCATGTGTTATACCACCACAGAGTCCTCTAAGAGCAAGCCACAGAGGTGCAGTCAGATCCAAAATAACTTGTGCTAACTAAAATATATATAGCCATGCAAGGCCTAGCTTCATATATTTTTGTGCTGACTGATGGTTATGACACACTGACTCCGGTGTCCACCTCCCCAATTAGGGTTCTCCCACATACCATCACCTCTGTCCTGTAGGGGGCCACCACTTCCTCAGGGTTTGTATTCTTGTAGATACTGGTACACCCCCTCCAAACGGCTTGGGGTTCCCCTCTCAATGCATACAACTGTTGCTCGGTTGACATACCTGTTGGGGTTCCTCTGTTTCGGGCAGCGGGCCTTGAGGTGGCAATTCTTTGTATCCAATTTGGGGAGAGTGACTGAATCTGGGGCCACCCAGCACTTGGCAAGGGGAGGCCCACCCTCCTGTTTTGGGACTACCCTGCCCTTCTCTTTTTGGACCCTCCCTGTTCCTTCCCAAAGTGGGTAGGCTTTCTGCCCAGCCCCTCGCGGTTGAAAAACAGCTGATCTGCAGTTAATGCTGTTTTGGGACCCTGGTCCTTGATGAGGTGTTTAATCTCTGTCTGGAGATTTCTAAAGACGAGAAAGCAAAGAGTGCCACTAGCAGGCTCTAAAATGACTTCATATCATTTTCTCCCTATACACTACAAAAATCTTTCAAGCCTTCCCTTGGTGTAGTAAGGAAGCAAGAATAATCCTAGTTGTTTCTTGGTTTTTGGGTCACTTTAACAGGATGGATGGATCTTGAAAAAAAATCCCTTGGAAAAAATAGTATCTAATCATGTAATTAAACTGTCATAATGCATGTGCATAAAGGAGTTGAAATAAAGTTATACTGGCAGCATTAATTCTGGTGTTTCTTAAAACTTATGTCCCTGACTTGGTAACATTACCACTCTTTAACTATAGTGTAGTGCTTGGTTCTTTTTAAAAATTGTTTTTCTATGCTTTTTAAGCATTAAAACCAGAAGCATTGCATCACCTGGAACTGTGCCAGTCCTGGTATTGGTCACCCACAGGGTTGTACCCTTTAGATCAGTAGCACAGACCAGTTGAGTAACTGGGAGCACTAGTAGTCTGTTATCCTCTCTGTGGACAAGCCATTAGACTGGGTATGTGACATGCTTTGCTGATAGATTTCAGAGCTGTTTGCTATCAGGAAAGGAATGTGAATGTAGAGACTCGGGACTTGGGTTCAGTTGCAGGTGGCAGAGCAGAGTGTCCCATAATATCATAACAACTCATTTTTGTCTGTCTTGGCCACTGTGTCTGTTGCTTCTCCTCTTGTTCTCTCCCCCATTATACTCTTCATCTATTACTGATCCTGTTGTCCATCTCACTCCTTGTGTCTGACCTGCCCCACTCCTCATAATCTGATATGTGAGTTAGGATGCCGCCTCCTCTTCCTCCACCTCTTCACTACTGGCATGTCAGGAGGGGGAACACTGAAAGCCCAAGACCTGTATGTAGCATTAATCTCTCTTCTAACACCCAGTGCTGGGGTAGACTCTGACTGTCAGGAGGGGCACTACCTAAGACCTGCTTAATACCCAGCAATACTGGAATGGAGCATGCTTTTTTGCTGTCTGAGGATAGAGATATGCATTGTAGTTAACACAAAGGTGCTTTGCGAGATTGACATGTGCTCAGGCTAGTCTGCACGTAGGGGATGGAGCAATACAGACAGAACTTAGTGGCAAGCCTTTAACAAGACTATCTTGACCATACAATGGTGTGATTTTTTTTTTGTTTTGTTTTTTTTGTTTTGTTTTGTTTTGTTTTTTTTTAGAAGTTTGCACCTTGACCAAATTTGAGAGAGCCTTTATAGGATGAGAAAAAGTCCATCCCTGATGGAACAACAAACTTACTAAATGTTAAGTTCCTGGTCCAAAGCATAAAGACACTAGAGCTTCTCAACAAAACAGTTGTAGGAATTTGTAAAATGGAGAAATAATATATTTTGCCATAAACATAACCTTACAGCTAACTGAATAATAATTTTTCCTAAACTTGCCAGAGAGAGTTTGTCTGAGGCAGATGGCCTGGGAAATCTCAGCCTGAGCAGTTAAAGGTTGGCAAAGTTTATAAATAACCAAAATCAGGATTTTGTAATGGAAAGTGTCAGGCAACCTCAACTATGAGCTACCAGCTCTTCCTGAACATAAATTTGGTGCTGTTAGCTTACTTATAAATGCTAAGAAGAGAGGTGGATTTGCCAGGGAAAGGACCCATAGTATCAGGCTTGCCAAAGATCTGCTTCTTGGGGAATGCAGCGTCAGTACGGACATCACACTCCCTGTACTGGCTCTTCTAGCAGCTGAATGGAGTAGGAAAACATATGGCTGGGCTGTTCTTAGTCTTTGTCTTCATTAGGCTGCTTCTGTCACCAGAAATTTTAACAATAGACAGGAGCCACTGTAGCGGAGCCATCAGAGTGTGAACACACCCCAGTAATTTTGAGTGGCTCTACACAGCTCTAAATGGACCTGTACAAGGGATGTTCTCTTCAGTGAAATAAAAAAAAAAAAAGAATTTAGCCACTGAGAGTCTTGTGTGTGGGGATGAAACAGGATCTGCCTCAGACCATCTCACAGATTTCTTGATTGGGGTCTGTCTTTGTGCCTGTTCTCCCCTCCAACTTGTGACGTGTTCACTCTTTAATGCAGTTATAACCAGAAATACCGCACGCACGCACACACACCGGCACTGAGATGCAATGCGAGGAGCAAAATCATCTGCAGGTTTCACAGAATAAGTTGCAATGGGCTGCAGATCTCCTTGCCCTGGAGACTGATGGTCCGGCTGCCAGAGGTCTGGTAGAGGATCTGCTAGGGTCTTACTTGCTTTCCTTCCTACTTCTCAGTAAGCAGCCTCAAGGCTGGCCTCTTCCTTACATCTCCCAGCACTAATGCAGCAATAAGCATGACAACCTGCCTGCCTGATGGCATTCTCTCACCCCTCTGTAACCTTGCTGTGTTACTCCAAGGCATTTGTTCCTTGTAGCTGTGTCTTTGCCCATGCATTTCTGTGGGGATCAGCATAATGTACGGTAACTAATAACATGTAACACCTCCTGTCCTCCAGCTAGGCATCTCACTAGCACTCGGGAACTTACCTGAAAGAAGTTGTTAGCCACATTAGTCTGAAGTCAGACAGAAGGCAGGATAGATTTGCACCTTGAAGACATATAGCATCTGATTAAGTGAGCTCAGACTCAAAAATACTTATGCTATATCTCACAGAAGAGAAGCACTGTGCAGGCATCCCAAGCTGACTCTGCAGGCACTAGCTTTAGAACCAGAAGCAGTACAGGCATGGCTGTAGACTACTCTCACACTAGTTAGTTTTCCTTGACAGCTATTTCAGAGCATCCCTGTATTGGCACTGCCTTGCGCTGCACAGATGCACCTTCACTGACTGACACAGCCAGCCCTGGCAGCCTTTGGTATGGCCGTTTTTTAGATACAGTAGAACTTTCTATTGATGTGAAGCTCAGTTTTTGTCCACAAGGTCATTTATGAGAGTGGTGCCTTCCAGGACTGGGGATGGGACTACATAGTCACTCCTTGTAGCTAGGTTCTGTCTCCATCAACATATTATTCCTGTCTGTCATTCTTACAGCAGCATTTGGCTTCCACTTGTTCAGTTGCCAGAGTTTGGTTTAAGAATGTCTACGGGCCCTGCTCTCTAGGTCCTAATTTGATTAACTCTTCTTGCTGACAGGGCATCTGACCAAGGTCCCTTACTGACTGGCTGTGACCTGACCCTGTGACTTTGCTGTGGCTGTGTAGTTTATGTAGTCCAGTGGTATAACTAGGGTAGGGCAAATGGGGCAACTACCATGGGTACTGACTTGTTGGGAGAGGGCAGGCAGGGGTGCAAAAGAAAGCAGGTGTGGCTGTAACCAGAAGTTGCCATTGTCCCTGTGCCCTGGGTCTACATCCCTTTGCTACTGGTATAGTCACCTGTATGATGTTCCCTCTTAGCCTTCCGTGCCCTGCTGCAGATCCGAGCTGTGAGGAAGAAGCCTGGGGCTTTATCACCTGTCTCATTCAGCCCTGTCCTCGCCCAAACCATGGACCATGATGAACACTCTGTAAGTAACTTGCAACCCTGTACCCAGTGCCTGTGATCATCTTGGCAAGGAACCAGAAATCGTGTTGTCCACCTGTTTTACCCATTCCCAGGTTCCATCTTGACTGGTTTGGCCCATTGATGGATGTCCTTCACTGAGGCTGAGCCAAATCTCTGGGAGTTGTTTGAGGCCTTTCTACTCAGAGTAATCTCAGACTTGAGTATTTGTTTCTCCTGCCATTGACCACTTTCCTTGGGAGCCCTCTCCCCTGCCACATACTTTATGTATGGTGAAATTGGGCCAGCCACAGGATTACAAATCTGGTTCTGGTTGGTTTTCCTTTTCCTTCTTAGCCACCAGATCTAGAGAAAGAAAAATCCCAACAGGTGCCTTAGCAAGAAGAAGGTTCTGCTCAACTGTGGAGAACAATGGTACAGCAGGGCAGGAGAATGGCTGGTTAAAGCCTGAGATCATGGAAAATTACACTTAAAAGTGTATTTTAATGAAATGCTCTTGTGTTCAACTAAGATGTGGGCATGCTAGCTGGAAACCCCATTAGAGCAAGCTCTCTGTGAGTGAGCAGTGGGCCTATGGTACAGCATCCAGCAGAGTGAGCCCTGCTATATCCCTGAACAAGAGATCATACAGCCAATTCCCAGAGTGTGCGTAAAAGAACAGTTGAGTTAAATCTGCTCTCCAAATGAAGAGGGCTTCCACCATCCTCCTTCCTCTGGGTAGTAGGGAAGAGTGGAGAAATCCAGATCTGAGGATATAAACCCTCCTTTGTCCTCAGCCCACAGAGCTGGATCTGACTTAAAAGTCAACCCTGCTTTGAAGCCAGGGAGAATGTCTGAAGGGTTAGTACTTTTAAGTCCCAACTAGTTCCTCTGCACAGGGCCCTACAGAGGAACAGGTGATATCTGCTGGAACTAGGGTGCCCAGTGCCATCATGTGTCCTTCAGACGTAGCACCATTAGCTTGATGAATGGCCTCCATCAGGAATGAGCTGTAGGTGAGAAGTCCCCAGGACATTGTTCAGGGTTTGGAATTTGCTCTACTGCCCCTAGTTCAGTGATACAGATTTATTGGTCAGCCCCAAGATACTGGTGTCTTTTGATGTATAAACCATTCTTACCATCCTGCCTGCTTTCTTTGTTGGCTCCAGTCCTGAATGCTGGCCTTATTTGCTGCCCAGCAGTTAGGTTTAAAAGCAAGCCAGATACACGTTCTTGACTGGTTGGGAGCACTCTGCCCTTCAGGCCTGGATTATCGTTTTGAAAACTCTCTTGACTTAGGGATATGCAAGGAAAGTCACTCTAGACAAGTAGATGCCAGAAGGAACGTATTGGACCTGGTACCTCCCTGGCCTAGCTGAGCTGGGCAAATTTCACCTTTAAAACTGCCCCAGAACTGATTTCTGATCTGCAGTCATGTTCCAGGGCTTTACTGGAAAAAGGGGTGGGAAGACAAAGAGATCCATTTTGTTTGGATGCTACTTTTTTGCAAATGCTAAGTACTCTGGCCCCAGAACTTGGGATTTGTGATGTGACTGTTATTTGATGGGAACAGGAGGTTGTATTCATGGTATTCTTAAACAGTTCAGTTAAAACCAGTTTTATTCCCCCTTCCCCTGTGGTGTAATCAACCAGGAGTCTTGGGTAGGGCTGAGAAATGGGACATGAAACTGACCCATTAAGAGTCCCTGCTGAAGCTGAGAGCAGCGTAAGAAGATAACAAGTAGTATCACCAAGAACAAGCTGGTCATATTCATGAGCACGATCTCAGGTTTTAGTGGTACAAGAAAGGAAAATCCTTGTTTACAATATGATTTTTTCTTGACAGTGTCCCTTTAAAAATCCCAAAGTGAACACTGTCACCCAGCCCAGCAAGAAACCTAAAAGAGAAACAGTAAGTGGACTTGGTCACATTTGGTTACTACAGTAATTACTCACCAAGAGTCTCACTAGCATGTGAAACCATTTTATATATGAGGGCTTGCTAATGCTCTAGGCTTAACTTACTCTTCCTGCATAAAGTGTAAACACTCCAACCACTGGCTCCATGTTAGTTACAGTAGTACTCTCACCCCCTCACAGATGCTCACTAACCCTCACCTGCTCTACCAGAGGGAATGATCAGTATCCTCTTTTTGATAAACTAAGGTATAGAGAAGTTTAAGAGATTTGCCAGAAGTCACAGTCACTGAGATTGGCACATAGCCCCTAGTCCTGTGCTGGGTCTCCCTTTTTGCTTATTTTCCTGGCTCCTTAGGACTGTGGGTAAGCTGGTGTTCCTCCCAGGAGATTATTTGGTAAAGTGTGTCCACATTTGTCTGACCTCTTTGGAGGTTTTGCTTGGGCATTTATTTCGATAAATGCTCACCTCATGCTCTGAGGTGTCAAGACTGGTAGTAGGCAGAGCCAAGTCAAATCTTAGGTGCAATAAAAATCACTTTGCTTTTATGAAAGATGTGTCCTTTGGAGAGTTATCTAAAAAGAAATCTGCAAACAAAACAGGCTGGTCTATAGAGATGCTGTCAGCAGAATAAGATTCAAGTAGAAGGCAGGGTATGTTTGCACCTTATAAACCAACCAAAGTAAATATATATCAAACTTTTGTGAGCTCAGACTTGGGGACAGCATTGTGGTATGTGTCCAACAAGAGGGTGTCATTTCTTAAAGACATTTTTAAGTTTCCATAATGTATTCTCAAGACCCTGGTAGCTGCTGGCTGTAAAATTTGCCTCAGGGCTGGGAAGAAAACCTGTTGGTTAGGTGTAAACCTATTGGTTACTATATTCTTAGCATTTCTGTCCCTTGAAACAGTGGGCTAGGTCCTATACCACCTATTATGCATCTATGTGACAGGTAAACTTTTAAAGGTCTAAGTACAGTCCCATACCACACTGCTTGAGTCCTTCAAAATATATTACTTTTGTAGTGAGCCTTTGTCTTTGCTGCTGTTTTTTTTGGTTTAGTTTTAAGGCTAAGAAGAGGACTCACTCACCTGTTGCATTAATGTTTTTTTTTCTGGACCTTGCTACCATGACTTCCAACACATGCACAGCCCCCCCTTCCAAACCCTGCACACTGCTTATCTTTTTCAATACAGAAATCTTGGCACTGATATGCAGCACAAAATAAAACAGCTGGAGCATCTCAGTCTGTTCCAGAAGAGATGCTAAACTGAGCGTATTGTTTGCACTTTTGCTTAACCTAGTGAAATTTATTGGACGGCTGCAAAACCCAAGGGCCCTCTGTTACAGAGTAAGTGACTGAGCTCAAAGGGCCTTTATGATAATTATCAATAATTTGGTTAAATTAACAGGGGTTTAACTGCTTTTGAAGGGCCATTGTAACAGGGCACGCATCTCGGTGCCTGTTACAATTAGGAGGCTTCACCCAACATCTGTTGAAGGGAGAAAACTTACCTGCATATGAAAGGCAAATTAAAAGAATGGGGCTGCATGTGCCATCAGGATCCAAGGTGTCATTGATTGCCTCTTGCACTGCCGGCGGTGGGGAAACATGTGGGAGTGGTACCAGTTCTTGTTGGTTCTGGGAGGAAACCTGGAAGTTAAAACCTGAGTTGGACCAGAGGGTCAGTTACCCCAGATAGGGGATGCACTGGAGAGCAGAAGTTCGTGCAAGCCACGTTACGGCATGGCAGCTTAACTGGATTTACCAATACAAGGACCAGGAGACAAGGGGATACACATACCTCAGGTGATGGGACAATGCGAGGATCCTTCGTTCGTGTGAAGGAATGGCAATCACTGGCGAGTCCAGCCTACTTGGGTTTTCTTCCTCAGGGAAAAGGAGAGGGGTCAGCGAACTGAGGATTCGTGTGTCATCCTGTCATCTGAGGTACGTGTATCCCCTTTGGTTTGGCTTCCAGGCTGTCTCCTGGTCTTTGTACCAGTTAAGCTGCCATGCCTCTGCACAGCTTGCACAAGCTTCCTCTCTCCAGTGCATCCCCTCTCCAGGGTAGCTGACCCTCTGGCCCAACTTAGGTTTTAAGTCCCGGGTTTCCTCCCAGAACCAATAAGAATGCTCCCATGTTTCCCCACTGCTGGCAGTGCAAGAGGCAAGCAATGACACCTGGGATCCTGACGGCCTGTGCAGCCCTGTTCTTTTAATTTGCCTTTCACATACAGGTAAGTTTTCTCCCTCCGACAGGTGTCAAGTGAAGCTGTCCTAACTGTAACAGGCGCCGAGGTGCGTGCCCTGTTACACAGGCATCTTTAACTTTTGAAATCCGGTCAGTTGAAGGGGAAAAACGGGGACTTCAAAATAGTTCTGTAGCTTGCACTGTTCCCCAGGCTCCTGCTAATGTATGTGATTTTACAATTGTTTTCATAATTTAAAAACAAAAAACGTTGCATGGAAAGACTCACCCAAACGGAGGGAACTGAGTGAGAGAAACAGCAGAAAGGACTGTCAGTGTACAAAGGAAAAAAATGGTAAGGCCTTATATCTGCTCTCGTCCTACTCTGCAAGGACCTTGGCTGCTGTCTAGAACAGTCATGTTCACAAAACTTCAAGACAGAAGGGGTTTTCTTTTAAGTCAAAGTATCCCTTTAACCATTAAGGAAACCTAGAGCTTACTTTACACAGAAGGCAGCATAGTTTGCAATAGCTCTGCAAAGCCCTGCTTTCTCTCAGTCCTCCCTTTGGAGCTCCTGCTTGGTTGCTGAAATGGCAGTAGAGGTGACAAGCACCGTTCATAAAGGTAACAAGTTTCAGTCTCAGTGAGATGGTGACTTGGCTCTTTTCTGAGCACTGTTTCGGGAATTGATCTTGAACTTACTTGAAGTATATTGTAATTATCCTAACAGTGTGCAGCCATTCCAGGAGGGATGGCTGAGGCTTGCTTTGGAGTGGTTTCTGTGGTGATGGGCTGCCTTAGGAAGCAATGCAGGGGGGTCTTTAGCAGTGCAGTGCCAATGGGATGTGGAACTATGTGGTGACAGGGTTTACACAGTGTTTGGCTTGAGGGGTGTGACCTAACATGCCCTATCTTTCTCACCTGCAGAATTCTGACAACATCCCTCCTGGATATGAGCCCATTTCCCTGCTGGAAGCTTTGAATGGCCTCCGCTCCATCTCACCATCCATTCCCTCAGCTCCTCTGTACGATGAAATCAACTACACCGGTGTGGTGGATGGGCTGCCCCCGTCTGGCCGACCTCTTGTTGGGATTGACAGAGCTGTGGAGAGTGGTCATCAAAAGAACAAACGAAGCAAGTCTCCAGATAGGTCAGCAAAGGAATAACTGAATCTATACCTACATAGGGCGCTTCCCAGCGAATTCCCTAACTGTTGTCTCCTCCATGGCTCAACTGGCCAAGCATAAGCCCATGTCTCTGTCTTCTCTGTCTCTCTCTGGTGATGGCACCAGTAACTCTGCTGCAGTGGGTGTGACAACAGCAGGTCCCTCTGCTGCCCATTGTATTGATTGTTGAAGAAACTGGGAGGGTTGACGTGTCTCTTGCATGTTTCACCTTAACAGTGTTTGCAAGAGGTCTTATTTGGAGGTTGCATGTTCCACTGAAGAAAGGTGAATCTTTAACTAGCAGTTCTCTTCTCCCAAGTGTTAATTGGGCATTTGGCCTTAGGTGTTAACAGAAATCTAGAATTTTAAGCAAGCTGGAAAAACATTTCCGTCCAAGTTAACCAGGTCATTCTTGACTTGTGTTTTGCATGTCATAAACTTACTAATTCTCGCATGTTCCCTGAAGCCTTTCTGGAGTAAAGGGGAGATGAGATCTGAATTTCTAGTCTCAGATCCATGCAGAAAGAAAACTTTTTTTTTGCCTTTGTGAGGCTGTCTCTCTATTCTGCAAGTGGAAAAAATGTAACTCCTGTAGGGTGGTATAGCAACACAATGTTAGAGCAAGACCAAAGGAGTTCATTCCTGGCTGTCAGTGCTGTGCTCCAACCACTCCTGACCTTTTCTCTACAGGCACAGTTTTTATCAGCTGCTAAAGAGAAATCTAGATCCCTGAATTCTGCACTCTTGTTCAGACAGAGAATTAAATGGGTCATGTCAGAAATGATTGGTTAACATATGAAAAGACTTACTTAGATGAGACAGCATGGATTTTACCTCCACTTTCTCTAGACTTTACTTTGACCAGCTTAGTCAAGCCACATGGCATGTATACCAGCCTCTAGGTTGCCATGTTAGTTAACGCCTGCATTGCAAGTCTGGGAAAGTCTCAGTCAGGAAGTTCCCAAACACTGCCCGAATTGCAAACACTGTCTTCTGGGCCATCCTTGGGGAAGGCCTGTGTGACTCCCAAATGCACTTTGCTGTGGGACCCCATACATAGACCTTGGATGATACTGTCCTCATTACTGCACCATGTTCTTGCTCACATCCCTTATAAAGTGTTTTGAGACCTAGAATTTAAAATCATTATAATATCATTTAGGCATTAATCCAGTTACGTACTTCAAGAGTAAATAGCTACAGGTGTTTCTGTCTCTCTGCTGACTGCATAACATGATGGTATGGGGAGTTCCTTTAGCTTTCTCTTGCCCAGCAGTCATCCATGAATATATTGAACTGGTGAGTGTCCTTCCTGGTTTCTTGCAGTTGCAGTTACTGCATCAGTGTCACCATCACAGGATGATACTAGGAAATGCTAAGTCTGATTCAAAGGGATTGTGCTCCTGGCTACTGTTCAAAGTAGGCCTCTGTTTTTGTATCCCTGATTTTGCACCCTTAATGAACTGTTGAAGTGAATGAACATAATTCTTTGCTGACATTCATTTGTACATTTCTTGGCAGTTCGGTGCAGCAGTGGGATGGGTGTGGGAGAGCTAATTCATGCAGGCCCCAAACTATCTAGCTGAAATGAATGTCCAGGTTGAAAGCAGTGCCATAAAATACATGCCTGCAAGGGGCTGAAAACTAGATGTGATGTCTCTTGAAATCCCAGATCCGCATCCCAGTAGGGTGTGTTCAGCCCATCACCCTTGAGTTAATGGAGTTGAATTCTATGCAGGTGACCACTGACAGAGGCTTCAGATGAAACCTGATTGCCTTTTACGATCAGGTCACAAAGGCCATAGATGCAGGTGTCGCGGTGGATGTAGTCTTTCTGGACTTCAGCAAGGCCTTTGACACCGTCTCTCACCCCATCCTAGTTAAAAAACTAGGCGACTGTGGCATAGATGCCTACACAGTCAGATGGATTGCAGATTGGCTGA